ACATACGCGCACGTCTCCTTATCAAGTGAAGGAAAGGAAAAGAAAAATGATAATCGTTTGTTTAATTTCATCAGTACGATGAGAGAATACAAAGCGTTCAATAGTATTCAAAAAAGGAAAAAGAATAAAATAAGATAGAGCTAGCAGCATAGTTTTTGCTTCTTTTTTTATCCATTCTGTTTTCAAAAAGAATTACAGATAACAAATGAAATCTGCTATCGACAGTAATTGGAATAGCTCGATATCAATCGCTGAACGACAAGTTCTTTTTTTTTCCAAATGAGAAAAATCTAAATTCTGAAGAACGAAAATAGAACAGGATCGACTTGTTTGACATCAATTAAAGACGAAAGCATTTCAACGGATTCTTGACAAGAAAACAAATGCACATCTCACAATTGATTAATATCAATGTGTCTTACATTCAAGCTAATTGTTGTACCCCAAAATCTAATTATGACTTTGAATTCAATTGTTGATTTTAAATGTTTACTAATATAAAGTTTCACATTTCCTAATCTTGGAAGTAATGAATTAGCATTCGATGGACAATTCTGGCAACATAGTAAATCAATAAATTGTAGATTTGCTAAAATTCTTAGTTCTTATTTGATGCTACCATGAAACGGTATTGACTTCTAGATAGTTTGGATTTTATCCTAGTGGTGTATCTAGAGAAGCGCTATAGGAGCACCCCCTTCCTACCACGTCGACGAAAAAAATAACAAACGAAACTGTCTTGAAAATTTTAGGCTTTTTCGAATATTACATAGTAGAGGAAACCGAGTTAGCCAGGAGCATGTACACCTTCTAAGATTAATAGAATTTTTTTAAAGTAATGGCATATGTAGGATTATCAGCATCAATTTACATCTTTTATGGATGTAGAGTCATATGCAACGCAAAAAGTCTACAGAATATTTTGTTAGTAGACAGGGCGTGCAGGAGGTGTAGATGTCTAATTCGTGTTCGACAATAAGTCAAAATTTCAAGATTTCGCGGGCAATATAACATAGAGTACCAAAACATTTCATACTCTAGTCGTGGGTAGTGGATAGAAGTTACCATTACTTTACTCGTTCATTGGCAACTTCTGAAAATGACGAATTATTACTTCGATTCAATCGAATGCCGTCAATGCATCATTTACCTACTTATTGGCCAACTACAAGTTACCTTATAACTCCGAACCTTATTAAGTCATGTGTTGATGATATTCAGTCGAATTGAAGTGATAATTCCTCGCTTGGATAAGTTACCAGGAAAAGTAAATGGTTGGTAGCAGTAATTTCTCTATTCCTAGTTGTATGTATAGTAATCAAATTTGAATGTAACTTTTATGGCCACTGCCTTCTGCACGATTACTAAATAAACAAAATAGAAATGTCCTAGAATTCAGTTACTCAGTTTAAACATTTTCCTAAATGGTAAATGGACAAAAAACTGTACTGAAAACGATGCCATACAGAAGCAGTGAGAGTTTCATGTACGATGTTCCACTTCAACAGAGTTTCATATGCGGTACAGAACTTGAAAAGGATTTTGACGCGAAATGAATTCGAAATAGCTTTAAGAATTTCATTGAAAATCTAAGAAGTCTTGAATAATTTTTCCTAGATTCTTAATAAGTGGTTTTGAAGATGTCTTAGGTTTGTAGGAAGCATTGGGAAGCTTTGTAATTCACTGCAATTTTATTTTGTATTGTACAGTTGTTTTTTCAAAATTCGCTGGGTATACATAGATATAAGCGACGGTCGCGACATATTGTAGAGAGCCATCCACTTCCATGTCTCGGTACTGACATAAAGGATTGGTTATACGAGCAAAAGGCTTTCTGTGCAGTTGAACGCCGTAGGTATTTTTCATACATACTACACTATACCAATACACCTTAAAGTCATCTCATTGCGATAGAAATTCTATTAGAACTCAAAGGAAACACTTGATGCTTTCGTCAAAATGAAGCTTATCAAAACGACTTCATCTAACAGAATATTCGATATTAGACCGAATGGTTTCTCTTTATTAGCGATGGAGAGAGAGATATTGCTATTGACTATGAATAGGGGTCCGTCAGTTCCAATTTTTAGAAATAGTTAAATCAGATTTGGTATGAGTTCGAATTGTTGTGAAAAAGTTGAAAACTGACTGATAATTAGCCTGAATACGTGTGAAATCAGTAACTCTAAGGTATTCATTGCTAACGTAACGATCGATGAGCGATACTCTTCCTTTCTTTTCTTTAAATGACCTCTTCATTGTAATATTGTCCTTGAACGATGATATTTCGTTTCCTCTTTGTTTTCATAGTCTATTGAATGAACATATATCTTTTCAAATAAATATATAGACACCATGGAATTGAAGAACTAAAATCTGACTCAATTCATCTTAGTGTCCACTTACATAATTGTTTGTAAATAACATTTTTCTCGTTTAAAGAGCAAAATTATCGATTTATTAAAAGTACATTTAAAAACAAATATATGAATCAATTTAAACGAAAATTAGATTTTATTCAATCATCAATAGAAAAAACAAAGAAATTACAAAGTATGTTATTCAAAGATTATACATAAATTTTCTTTTTTTTGTTGTTGTCATATTTTCATACAAAATAGATAAATTCAATCGATAAATAACATCTACTGAAGATTTATCAAATGAACTTTTCTATGAAATATTTGGATATTTTGATGGCTATGAAATATACAAAATATTTTCAAAGCTTAATTATCGTTTTCAACAAATTCTCAATTGTCAATCTCTTGGATTTAAAGTTCAACATGATGATTTCGATTATAATGAGAATTATTTCCTAGATCTTAAACGATTTCTTATTGTTAATCGACATAAAATATTGTCCATGCAAATATACATACGACCAGAACACAATGATTTTTTCTCATTGTTTAAAATCGATTCATCACTCAATTGTCTCCGATCACTTTATGTTGATCTATATAACAGCACTATACTTCTTTCATTGCTTAGTAGTTTAGCTTATCTACCATGTCTTTTCGTCTTAACTATCGGCACAGGCGGCACTGAAGATTTAAAGCATATTTATCCCTTAGTATTTATCTTACCTGTATTAAAATCGTTCACATTTATCTATGCTAAAAACGAAGAAGAAATTTTTCCAATGGCTACGAATAAAGAACTTAGTACAATTGAATATCTTTGTATTTGGCATGAATGTACTTTCAACGAACTTTTGATTATTACTTCTTATATACCTCAACTCCGTTGTCTGAATATGTTCAGTGATATTTATATCGACACAAGTGTTCACACGATGCTACCAATTAGATTATCAAATTTAGTATATATCAGAATAGAAAATGCTAATCTAAAATTTTATGAGTTCGATCGATTGATGAAAACAATATATTGTAAATTAAGAACTTTACATATTAACATGTCTGGGGATGACACAAATTATCTTGATGCTGATCTATGGGAACAATTAATTTCACGTTACATTCCACAGTTAGAAAAATTTTATTTGCAATATAATTGGATTTTTGACCATGACTATGAATATCCAGAGAATCCTGCAACAGAAGATCAATTCATATCATCATTTTGGATTGAACGACAATGGACATTCGAATCTAAAGTCAAAAATATGTCTATTGAATATTTTGTTTGTCCATACAGGTATAATAAGAAGATTTTTCTATATGAAAAAAATTATTTTTTTTGCATTTAATAGAAAACAATGGCACGATTATGAACAAGGTAGAACTTTTAATTTTTCTAAATCTAATCTACTCACTGTTACATATAATTATCCTAACAATTATGATAATTTCATTCGAATGGATGTTAAATGTGCTTTATATGTAGTAAAATACTATCGTTTGAAAATTCAAAACAAAGAACTTAATATTAGTGCATTAATCCAAGCAATAAATTTGTTACCAGAACTTGATACATTAAAAATTCATTCTTTATAATTAAATCAATCAGAAATGTTAAATTTAAAAGAATTAAATATTTCCTTTACAAAAGAAAACAGAAGTAAAATTACAAAAGTATATCTTGAAAAGATCAATGATATTGAAGAATTTTATATTCTTTTAAAACTCTTTCCTTCTATGACATATTTCAAAGTCGATTATATAGAACTTATGGATATTCAATGTATTTTAAGATGAAATTATTGAAAAATTAAATACAATGATTCATATTGAAAAACTTCTATATTATCTTTATCTTTACTTGTCATGGTTATACTACTGGTATTCGATGACAGTCAAAGCATCGAAC